AGCTTATTATAATTGATGCCAACTATTTCAAAACAAATCAGGTAATTTCCAATAATTATTTATTTTTTATTCAATTCATGCAATCAAATCAAAACTTTAGAAAATTCTTTTTTCAGAAATCAAATGTCTGAGGGGCCAGGGATTAGTTCAGTGGCACCGTGCCTGCCTCACAAGGGCAAGGTCTTGAGTTTGATGCCTGGTATAAAAAAACAAAAAAGGAAGAAGAAGAAGTAAAAACATCGCTATTACTTCGTTATTTGAAGCATTTTATTATATGTCAGATGATTTGATTTTCTATAAATTGTTCATCCTTTCTACTTTTCTATTGTCATGACTTTTTTAACAGAATTCTTTGAATTTGTATACAGCAACAATTTTAGTCACATATTATACTTGTTTGAAATGCTTTTCATACTCTGATGATCACTTTTTATTTGTTCTTTTGAGATGCATATATATTTTAATCTTATGTAGCCACATTTACATTTTTCCTTTGAAGTTTATGCACTTTATCATTAGAAAGTGTCATTCTAACTGGAGCTGATATAGATTTTTGGTGTCATTTTTTGATGAATTGAACCACACAGTGTTTTAGAAATTGACTTATTGCCTTTTGTGGTGCTATCAGCTTGGATTTTCTTAACTTTCTAACTGATAAATAAAAGGACAAATATTGCACATATTAAAGGTCACCACATGATGTTTCAACATGTATATACATTATGTAATGTTTAAAACAGGTCAAACATATCTACTTCCTTTAACATAAAATGTTCTGGATCTACTGGCTTTTTAAAATATATAGCACGTTATCATTATTTATAGCTACAATACTATGCAAGAACTTTTTGCTCTTGTGTTAGAGAAAACTAGATCTTCTTATTCCTAAGTGTAATGTGTTACTCATTAATCAACCCTTCTCCATCCTTTCCTCTTCCCTACAATCTCCAACCTCTGGTAACCACCATTCTATCCTCAACTTCCATGAGGCCAATGTTTTAACATTCTACATATGAGTGAAATCGTATAGTTCTATTCTTTCTGTGGTTGGCTTGTTTCACTTAATATAATGATTTCCAGGGCTGGGGATTTAGCTCAGCGGTTCTGCTGCCTGCCTTGCAAGTGCAAGGGCCCAAGTTTGATCCCCAGTACCAAAAACTTCCAGTTCCATCTTCAATAATGAGGTTTCTTCTTTCTGGGGGCTAAATAGTATACCATGATGTATATGTACCACATTTTCTTTATCCATTTGTCAACTGATAAACACTTAGGCTGCTTCCCTTTTTTGGATTTTGTGAAGATTTCTGTAGTAAAAAGAGTGAGGAAGTCTTTTCAATATGGAGACATCATTTCTTTTGGATATGTACTCACCCAACAGAGGGATTACTAGATCACATAGGTACTACTATTTTCATCTTTTTTTTTTATTGAGTTTATTGGTACATTTAGGGATACAGTACAGTTACATTCATTGTTGGGATCATGTACCTTTACATGGCAAGTCTTGATTCTCATTTTTTCCCCTTACCTCTGCCCTCCCTTCACCCCCTCCTCCCCTCCCCATCTACAAACACTTTATTTTCATCTTTTCATTCTCTCACATTTTTTTCTTTTCCCTTTTTGTTCTTCCCCTACGTATCACACCTTCCCTACACCTTTAGCTCCTTTCCTCCCATTTCTAAATGTCAGTAATCTTATTAGAATCTTATGCATTGTTGCAGAATATTCACACCAGGGAAACTATTTGGTATTTACACATGTGGGACTTATTTATTTCACTTAGGAGTATATCTTCAATATGTATCCATTTTCCTATGAATGAATCTATTCTCTCGCTCTTTATGGCTGAGTAATATTCCATTTTATAGAAAAACCACAACTTCTTTATGGAAACAACCTATTTGCCCATCCGTTGGAAACTATTTTCATCTTTTTGATAAACCTCCATGCTCTTTTCCTTAAAAGCTAAAAGTACTAATTTACATTCTCACTGAGGGAAAATGTCCCTGTTGTCCACATCCTCACCAGTACTTGTTATCTTTTGTCTTTTTCATATGATAGCCATTGTTGTAATGGTGAAGTGATACTCCTAGTGGTTTGATATGCATTTTCCTGATGATTAATAATAATGAGTTTTTTTTTTTCATAAACCTGTTTAGCCATTTCCATGTCTTTGTTTGAAAAATCTTCATTCAGGTCTTCTGCTCCTTTTAAAATATCTGGTTATTTCTGCTGTTGAGTTTTTAGGAGTTCTTTATATATTCTGGATATTAATTCCTTGTTGGTTACAGTTTGCAAATATTTCCTCCCATTCTGTAGTTTTTCTCTTTACTCTGATGATTGTTTTCTTTATAGTGCAGAAGCTCTTTAATCTGATGTGAAACTATTTGTTTATTTTTGCTTTTTTTGTGCTATTGGGATCTGTGGATGTATCTTATATTCAGTTCCAAAATTATGTAAAATAAAATAGCTTACTGTATTATATGGATTTTAATTGGGAGTTACACAAGGCCATAGTAAAGTATTTCTACTAAACAGAGAAGCATATTGAACAGATTTGGAATTACCTGTGCTGTGTGTATAATTTACAAATGTATCCAAACTACAATTAAAATAAAAGCTGTGATAGTTAAAATTCACAAATAGTATAATGTGTAATAACTAGTTTAATCTAACTAGAAAATTTTTTGAAAAAATTGCACATGCTTTGCCTTTTGTTGTGTCTAAATTGGGGCACCAGAAACACTGAGCTAAATCCCCAGCCTGGAAAAAAAAAATGTTTTTTCAGCTTTAATTGAGTTTATTGGTACATTTTAGGGATGCAGTACAGTTACATTCATTGCTGGGATCGTACCTCTACTCATGACAGGTCTTGATTCTCATTTTTTCCCCTTACCCGTGCCCTCCCTTCACCTCCTCCTCCCCTCCCCATCTACAAACACTTTATTTCCATCTTTTCATTATCTCTCATTTTTTTTCTTTTCCCTTATTACCCTTCCACTACCCATCCCACCTTCCCTACACCTTTAGCTCCTTTCTTCCCATTTCTAAATATCAGTAATCTTATTAGGATCTTATGTATTATTGCAGATTATCACACCAGAGAAACTGTTTGGTATTTACACATGTGTGACTTATTCATTTCACTTAGGAGTATTTCTTCAATATGTATCCATTTTCCTATGAATGTATCTATTTTCTCGTTCTTTATGGCTGAGTAATGTTCCATTTTATAGAAAAACCACATACTTTTTTTGACAGGTTCTTGCTATGTAGTTCAGGCTGGCCTTGAACTAACTTAGTAGTCCAGGCTGGCCTCGAATTCCCAGAGATCCTCCTGCCTCAGCCTCAGAAGTGCTGGGATTACGGGTTTGCGACACTATGCTCAGCAAAATGTGGTATATGTACTCAGTGAAGTATTTGTTTTATTTTATTTTTTTGGTATCAGGAATCAAACTGAGGAACTTGCCTTTGTCAAGGAAGGCGGGGTGCCACTGAGCTACATCCCAGCCCTCCTTTGGAGAATTTATTTATTTATTTTTGGTAGCAGGGATCGAACTTGGGATCTTGCACTTACAAGGCAGGTGGTGGCACCACTGACCTTTGGAAATTTTTAATGGAAGAATTCAATTGTGCCAATAAAATCGACGTTTTGAAGATTTTATAGATTACAGCTATTGTAATCAAAACATGTAAAATAACAGATGTTTAAACTTATCTGTACAAGATCAAACAAGAAAGCGAACAAATATAATTATATCTTAGATGATATATATCATTTAATTATGAAATTCTATAATTGTGCTTTAGAATATTTAAAACTTGTATAAAGAATTTTCATGGTGTTTGTACTAAAATGTCTATAAACACATTCTTAGGAAAATACAATTTGAAACTTTCTAGTTTACAGAATCTAAATTTGACAAACCTTTCAAAATAATTATAAATAACGAAAGGTGACTGTATGAAATTTATCTCAAGTATTTTCTGAAGACATGTATTTTGAATAGAGGCAAAAGAGTATATTTTAAAATATTTAGGCTAAAAAAACTTACAACTTATATGATAAAATAGAAATAATATTCTTTCTCTCTCTCTCTCTTTCTCTCTCTTGCTGTGTGGTTTAGTCTGGCCTGGAACTCATTATGTAAGCCAGGCTAGCTTTGAACTCACCTCAATCCCCCTGCCTCAGCCTTCTGAGTGCTGGGATCACAGGTTTGCAGCACCATGCCTGGCTTCATAGTTACTGTTTTGCGCAATTTTTCTGAGCTTATTTTCTCAATTAAAATGTTGCAATTTATAACAAAAATTAAATTGAAGATGTCAGAATTTTCACATATCAACAATACATATTTGAGAAGACTGTAGGTTATTTAAAAGAATTTAAAAAATAATGCCATATTACCTGTATTCTGCAAAATATTAGTGATTTCATTATAAAGGTAATTAAATCTGACAATACAACGATGTGGCAGGAATTTCCATTCACTGATATTTCAAAAATGTGTATTACCGATGTAGCTATCTTTAAAACGTTTCTTTGTTTTGTTGTAATATTCTCATGTTATTTTAGTTTTTACAAATATTTCATATTTTTGAGTAATATTCCTTTTGGGCCAACAATATAAAAATCTCAAAATGTCAAAAATGAAACCAATTCATTTTAATTAATCATATTTCCCGTTTCACTTTGTAGTGGTTGATGGACTTTAGATTGTCGTGACATTAAAATAAAAATACTCCAGGTATAGAGTATTACTGTTGGAGTAAGAATACTGAAATTCTGTCTTTTCCTTCTTTACAAGAGGATGCACTTGGTGGGAAATTTCTTTTTACTTTTTCCAGTGGAGGTGGCAATCAGTGGTCTTATTGGTCAATTTGGAGGATGACAGTTGACCCTCCCTTTCCTTTCCTCTGCCCAAAGGAAGTAGCCGCAGCATTCCTGTCTTCCGGTCTGTGAATTTGACAGACAAAATTTTTTACCCCCCCGGCGCCATTTTCTTTCTGCCGCGGCCCGTGACCACGTTGGTAAGTCCGTCTAACTGAGGGTTTTAGTTTCAGAAAGTACAGTTACAAGGGGTAACTTTGGTTCTCTTGCTGATTTACCTCTTTTATTTCTTCCAGAGGGAAAAGAGAGAGAGACATTATATTTTGCATTTTCCTCACACTCTAACATCTAGAATTTAGAGTGAAGATAGAAAAGGGAATATGTCCTGTTTTTTTCTTTTTTTTTTTCTTTCCAATAGGAGTTGCCTCTAGCATCCCGGGCCTTTCTTGCTCATTGTTTTGCTAAATTTCCCAGGCTGTATTCAAATTTACGTTCAGTGTTCCTGACGCGACTTCCTAGAGTACTGGGATTACAAGCTAGGAAGCCTTATGTCTTCGTGGTATGTGGAGTTAGAAGTGTCAGCAAGGGCTATTGTAGGAGACCTGAATCTTTGGCAGAACTGGCCTGAGTGCTGATCTATGTGCAGTTGCAGTGAGCTGAAGCGGTGGTGATTTTTTTTTCCTTCCACAGTAGAGTGACTTTTTGTATAAGCAAATTATGTCTTCTTAGAGACAAGTTTCCATGCCTTGGCTGTAAACAAAAGCAGCAAGCAACCTTTGAGAGCTCCAGCAAGTGTATGTCTGACCAGGAGTGCTGAGATAGCCTTAGTTCTAATCAAATGGCCACTGCTCCTTAGCCTTGAAATCTGAAGATAGATTTTTTTTTTTTTTTTTTTGTTTTTTTTTTTTTTTTTTTTTTTGTAACGGGGTAGAACTCAGAACCTTGCACTTGCCAGGCAGGCAGGGCGCCACGGCTGACCTACATCCTCAAACCTAGACAGAATTTTTTAAAGTAGCATTGTTTGAGACAAAGGCTTTCAGAGTATCTTTGTATGTCAGGCTTTTAGATCTTGAAGTGTTTCTGCTATTTCCAGAAGTATCTGCAGGAAGCTTAATGGCAAGACTGATTTTTCTTTTGTATCATTCTGACTTCCTTTCAGAGTCAAGAGAAGGAACTGTAAAGATAAATCATGGAGTCATTTCCAGCAAATAGCCTGTAGATTTAAAAAGTTGGTCCAAACTGGCACAGTGACACATTCCTGTAATCCTAGCATTTAGGTAGACTGTGGAAGAAAGATTGCAAGTTCAAGTCATGCCTGGACAATTTAGTGAAACTATTTTAAAAAATGAAAAGGATTGGGGATGCAGCTCAGTGGCAAAATGCCTTGTATTTAAATTTCATGGATGTAAAGTCAGTTTTGTAAAGTTTATGCCTTTTATTATGAATTTTGGATTTTTATCAGCATAGTAAAAAACAAAAAAGGAACACATTGATAAATTTTGTTTATGTCTCTACCCACTCCTATAGACTTTATTTAGTTGTTTGTGGGGGAGAAAACCCACCTTCTGTTTCTTAAGTATATAACACCATCCTATGTAACCTATTTGGAAAAAGTAATTCATTATTTTCCTTATCAAATCTCTAGAAGTAAAAATTCCTATATCTACTATTTTAGGTTTTGGTTGTTGTTGTTGTTTTTTTTTTTTTTTTTTTTTTTTTTTTTTTTTTTTTTTTTTGTGAGACAGGGTCTCACTATGTAGTTGAGACTGACCTGGAAATCACTCTGTAGCCCAGGCTGGTCTCGAAATCATAGCAATCCTCCTGCCTCAGCCTCCTGAGTGCTGGGATTACAGGCGTGCATCACCAAGCCCGGCTATATCTTCTATTTTAAAGATGGACATTACTGAGATAAAATATCTGACACCCACAAGTTAAAGGAGGAAAGGATCATAGAGATTTCAGTCCATAGTCAACTGGCTCCAAGGCGGGGTGACATATGGCAGAGGGCCACCACAGAGGAGAAACAGTTCATGGTGTGGCAAGCAGAAGGTAGCAGTAGCAAGCAGTAGGACTGCCTTTCTTTCCTTTTATATCTGTTATTGGTGCCACCTTTATGCAGGATGGGGTTTCCATTATTCACCCCTTTAATCCTAATAGCACACCCTTAATCTACATTTACATACCCCACTCCAGCACCTTGGAAACTCACCATCTGTGAGTTGGGGAGACATCTAGATACATGCCATCACAAGGTTCAAAAAGATTTTAGATTGAGAGAGAAACAGACCCTAGCTCCAGAGTAAGAACTTCTGATATTTTCTTTTATTTGATGCCCATTGTCTTAACATTCTGACCATTGAACCTAATTTTTACCTGAGTAATTACAGGAGTTATATATGATTGCTGAATTTAGAAAAAACTGCCGGGACTTTCTTCTTTTCCTTTTCTTGGGATTCTTCATAAGTTTAAATATAGACTTACAAAACATTGTGATTCATTGATTAAATGTATGCCCAGGGAACAGGAGGATATATTCTAGCAGCAATCAGTGTATCAAGTTAGATCAAAGAATTTAAACTTGTTGCCCATAATATGGAATTCACACATATTTAAGACCCAGATAAAAGAAGGAAAGAGTATTGTAGGAAAATTGGTCAATAGTAAGGTGAACGGAAAGAGACTGAATCAAGAAAACCAATTAGAAAAATACTGGAATTTTCTAAGTTCTAAGTGATTGTAGCATCTAATGTGATTTTTGGCTTTTGGGACAAAGAACTCAAAAAAGTAAAAATTTCTTGTGTATTTATGAATTAAGTAAGTAACTTCAGGATTTGGAGAAAATAATACAGTTTATATGGGCAGGAGGCCACTTAATCTTTAGGCTTATGTGGATACTGGCCAATGACTATATCCAAGAAGAAGATCCTTGTGGCCACTGAATATGTGGTCCTGAAATGCCAGACAATTGTTAAAGGTTTAGAGTTCACCAATCTAAAGGTGATAATAGTCATAATGGAGTTAATAAAGCCTGACAAAGTTAGAGGAAGCCCTTAGCATGTTTGTTTTGTTTTGTTTTGTTTTTTCCTCATTGAGTTTATTGGCACATTTTAGGTATACAGTACAGTTACATTCATTATTGGGATCTTGTTCCTTTACATGACAGGTCTTGATTCTTGTTTTTTCCCCTTATTCCTGCCCTCCCCTCATCCCTCCTTCCTCCCTCTTTACAAACACTTCATTTCCATTTTTTCATTTTCTCATATTTTTTTCTTGTCCCTTATTGGCTTTCCCCTACCCTTCCCACTTCCCCTACACCTTTAGCCTCTTTCTTCCTATTTCACGTTGTTCATTATATCATTAGGATCTTATGTGCTATTATAGTTTCTTCACACCAGAAGTGATAGGTAGATTTAGAGAACATAGGAAGATAAATAAATAGTGATGTAAAATTCAAATAGTTAGCAATATCAAATATTTATATGAAGTAAGAAAACGAGGTCTGAGAAATCATCACTAATCTGCTTTACAGTATTACCTAGGGGTAAGGTATGTAATAGAGACATGAACCCTCTATAAACCCTTTTTTTTTTTTTTTTTTTTTTTTTTTGGTACTGAGGATCGAACTTGGGACCTCACACTTATGAGGCAGGTGGCAGAACTGCCAAGCTAAATCTCCAGCGACAGAGATCTGAACTCTTAAGTCCACATAAATATTCAGTTTAGAACATTTGTCACTCATTTTTGCAGATGACTTTGTCTAAATTGAGAATGGGCTACTTAAAAATTTAGTACCAGAAGGGTAAGAATGTTGTTGAGGATTATTTGCCAGCCTCAGAGATTACCTTCAGGGGTTCATGAGAGAGAACATCTGAGAGGGGACAATAAATGGGCTGGTTTCTAAGTTAGTGTCTTCTGATCCTGCTGTGTACAGTGAGCTCTTTATTATCAGAACCTCAGTGTTGTCTATTAAATTAGGATAAATAAAAGGGACTCAGAGGGATCCTACTTTTTCTGACACTCAAGACACATACTTAACATTCTCTTGACAGAGAAAATCCAGCAGAATCAGTGTTGTATTTACATGAATAAAAGTTAGAAGAAATTCGTAGAGATGTCAATTCCTTTTCTTCCCCTCTTAAGGTCTGAAACAAGGGTGGGGGCCACAGAGAAGGGAATCAGAACCTTAATTTTAGAAGAAATCTAACAGTTCATGACAGAGCCCACAGCCCAAGTGACCTTATTCCCAGACACTTGCCCCTGTCTTGACCCTGTTTGTTTCTAGTTCAGTTGTCTGTGCCCCTGGGGTGAGGCTAAAATAGAGGACAATTGGGAAGTCAGCCATTGACTACAAAATAAGCCTTCAATTGTCATTTTAATGGCGGTACCATTTCACCTTAATTTAATTTCCCTACCTCCAAGAATATATCTTGTTTTGTAAATTCACAAGCTGACACATCATCCAGAGAGACTATTTATTTTCCCTGTCTCCTTCACACAAAGGCTGAGATTATTCTTGCAACAGTAATCAAGATCTTCTGTCTTTGGGTTGCAAAGAAAATGCATTCAACTGTACTTAAAAGAGAAAATTGAAATTCCGCTACAGATGATAAAGCACATTCTTTTTCTCTTTCAATTTTGTCTGCTCATATCAGCTGAACTGCATTAATAAAAGCAAAGAATGCCTGTTGCTAGTTATTGGCAAAAACACAACGTTCAATTGCCCCAAGCTGAGTATTAGGCATGTTGAGGTTTACTCCTATTATAAAATCTTGTGTTTTTGGTCCTTTTTTTTCCCTGGTGAGGACTAGAATGATACAAATTGAATAAGAGTCCCCAGAGGAAGATTTTTCTACTACCGTTAATAACTGAGCAATTGTGACTCTTCAGAAAGCGATTAAATCTCAAGTGTATTGGCTTGCCTATCTTTTGTAACCATTCTGCATTACTGGTGTAATTGGTTTAGGAAAGACTTCAGAACATTTATTAGAATTTATTATCCTGGTTTTAATTATTTATTGTGTTTATTTATTCTGTAGGTCATGAAATGGTTACTGGGTACATTTACCAATAACATAATTACCACAATAATAAAAAGCATCCAGAAATAAAAGTAGATCCAGCCTTTGAGATAACGATTTCTATAAACAAAAGATGTACTGTAGATTTTTCTTTTTTCCCCATCAGTCACATGTTGACTGTG